ACCACGCTCTCCCAATGAACTAACCGGCCATCCCTATATGGGATCTGAACCCAGGGCCTTGGTGTTATCAGCACCGCACTCTCCCGAGTGAGCCACGGGCCGGCCCCGAACTGGGAGTTTTCAATGAAGGTAAGGTGAATAAGTTGTAGGCGGGAAAGGGAGAGAATTGACTTGGCCTTATGGCTGAGAAGGTCTTGACTGTTTGTTGTTTAAAAGTTAGTTTAGGGCCGGCCCGGTGGCGCACTGCGCTGGTGCGCCGCTTGGGAAGCGCGGCAGCGCTCCCGCCGAGGGTTCGGATCCCACATACAGACCGGTTCCCGCCCACTGGCTGAGCGAGATGCGGGGGCAACACCGAGAGTTGCGATCCCGTTGCCGGTCCCGGTCCGGTGCGGGTGCGACACTGAGGGTTGTGATCCGTTGCCGGACACGGAAAAAGACAAAAACAAAAAAAAAAAGTTAGTTTAGAGCTTTCTTATGCTAAAAGGGCAGCTGCTGCCAAGGCCCGTAAACAGGGGCCCATTCTTGAGATGTGGTGTCTGGTTATTTAGAGGTTTGTAACTGGGGAGAAAATATCTCCTGCCTTTTGTCCCAAAATCCCGACTGCCAATCCTTGGGTTTTGGTGACATATAGGATAAAAGGATGAGATAGGTTTGGGAGGAATAGAGCTGGGGCTGTAAGGAAAATGGCTTTTAATCTCTGGAAGGGAGAATGAATGGGCTTTGTGGGATCTAAAGGAATGGCAGGATCCCCTTTGGCTGCCCCATAAAGTGGCTTTGCTAACACACCAAACTTAGGAATCCATAGGCGAGGATACATGCAAGCCCCAAGAAAGAAAGGATTTCACCCTTGGTGGTAGGAGTAGGGAGTTCAGAAATTAGACTCTTGAACTGAAGGAGAAGAAATCTGGGCCTTGCTGGGGGACAGTCAATATCCCCTGGAGACCAGGAAATTAAGGAGATCAACAGTGCAGGCCTGTGAATCCTCATAGGAGGTGCTACAAAGGAGGAGGCCATTCACATATTGTATTAAAGTGCTAGAGGTTGGGGGGGAAGTTCAGATAAGTATTGAGCTAAGGCCTGGCTGGAAAAGTGGGGGCTATCTCAAAACCCCTGAGGCAGTACTGTCCCAGTAAGTTGTTGGGAATGGCGTGTGTCAGGATTAATCCTATACTAAACAGTATGAGCTGTTAGGCTTTATAACTGGAAGGATGGATGTATTGAAAGGTGAGTGGGTAAGCCATGAGAGATGAGAAGAAAGGAGTTTGTGTACGACGAGTTTTAAGCCTACAGGTGTTTGTTAGCAATGGGGTACAGTTGGACATTAGGGAACAAAGAGGGGTTCCACAGTTTAACAAGGAAAGGGGAATGGTGCATAACAGTGGAGGGAGAAGCGTCCCATACTATGAATTAAACTTGTCTGAGGGGGAGGGGAAGGTGGAAGCCCCAGGGGCCAGGTCTGGGTGTGGCCTGTAACAGAAGTATTATAGCTGGAGTTAAAGTGTTTAGGGTAAGAGTAGCTTTGAATTTGAAAAGAATGTCCCATCCCAGTAAGGGGGCTGGGCATTGAGGCATTATTAAGAATTTGTGTGTGAATTGGGTGTGTTGTAGGGTGTAGGAAAGGGCTTGAGTGATCCGTGGGTGGTATTCTGATCCCGTGACCCCTACTATTGTGATAGAGGATGGGGTTGTTGGTCCTGCATACTTAGGAAGGGTAGAGTAAATGGCCCCTGTATCAGTGACAAAAGAGATCAGCTTACCTGCTACGAGGCGAGTTACCCTGGGCTCACACATGGTGATCTCCGTGGGGGCCTCAGGCCCTGGACGTCACCAGTCCTCTTCCTGGGCAAAGACTAGAAGCTCTGGAAGGGATGGCCGTGAAGCCAAAGGCTGTAGGCTGGGGACTGGGCCACTCCCTCTTTGGTGAGTGTCCCAGTTAATCCTCCAGTGACCTGGCCATTTGCAGTGAGGATGGGTTATGACAGGCCCGTGCCAAGTGGCCTGGTTGACTGCATTTGAAGCAGTTCCTGGATAGCTTGCCTCTTGAGGTAGCCAGCTTTGGAGTATGTGAGCCTCGGATAGCATTAGCCAGGAGCTGGTATTTGGCCTGATCTCTTTTATAGTTTTTTGAATATCAGGGGCTGATTGGGTAATGAAATGAGAGTGCAAGAGGGCCATGCCTGCAGGGGAGTTTGGATCTGTACATGTGTATTCATGTAAAGCCTCAGAGAGGCTGGTTAGGAACTCGCTGGGATTTTCAGTGCGTCTCTGTGCAATTTCTCTAAGTTTGTCATAATTGACTGACTTGTGAGTAGCCTTTGGAGGCTGTCAAGTAGGTGTGTGATCATGTTATCCTGGAGATCTCGATCCCCATGGGCCAGCCTGGTAGTTCCAATTTGGGTCCATGCAAGGAACAGCAATGGCTGCCTATTATTTTGAGCCTGTACCCGAGCCACCATCCAGACTTGCTCCCTGTACATGGACTTGGACAATTCCTTCCATCTCAGTCACTTCACAGAAGGGTTATAAAAAGCTGGAGCTGAAGTGGGGTTGTTACCTGAGGAAGGGAGCTGAAAACAAGCGTCTGGAGGCCAGGTGTGGGGAAGAGAGAGAAATGTGGAGGGCTGACGATCAGAAGGTTGATCCAAGTCTGGAAGGGAGAGGTCGAGCATGAGCCAGGAGAATTTGAGACATAGGACAGTTTTGACAGAGAGAAGAATGCGCTCAGAGATAGGAAAAGGCCTGAACAAGGAATCTCTGCAGCTTTTGCTGCTTCAGTGAGTGTCTAAATCAAGTGCCATCTTGTGGCCACTGGGATCCATTGTAACGAGGCGTTTGAGTTTTAATGTCTCCCTGGAGGCCAAGAAACAGTGTCTGCCCAGGAGACAGCCCAAGGGCATAGAGCGTGGAGTTTTGGATCGTGAGGATCCCGTGTAGAGGGTGAGAAAGGGCAGTCAGTCTTTGTGGAAGAAGAGTGCCAGCAAAGGGCGTCCCCTTTTGTGCCCACCTTCTTTTCAAAAGAAAAGCCACCAACCGGCTAAAGGAGCATCTTCCAATAGCTGGGGGGCACAAGAAGAATTCCCTCGGCCAGGCGCATGGGCTTCATGGAGACCAAAGTCAGAGAGTAGTCGGGGGAACCGTAGAAATAGGCAGGACAGACCCACTGACTCACCCTGAATTGAGGCTGATGTTGGATGCGTTGGTCTGAAATGGCAAAAGGAGAGAGAGTCTCGAGTGTACCTGGTTCCGGCAGGTCCAGGAAGGGCAGCTGAGGACCTGTCACCCCAAGAGAGAGGGGGCTGTCCACAACGTCTGCCTAAACCCTTCCCGGGTTTTGGCACCATAATGAAAGAAAGTGAGCTGAGATGACGGGTACCATTCAAGCTTTATTTATTAAAGGAAGAAAATCTGCTGGGCTGTGCTCAAAGTGGCAGGAGCCTAGGGCTGCCCTGAAAATGGTGGACAGCACCAGGCGTGGGGATGGTAGAGCTTATATAGTGTGCCAAGGGCTGGCTGATACCATCAAGGAGGGTCATTATGCTACTGTGGATGGGGTGGAGAACTGCATCCTTGCAGAAGCAAAAGGGGTTTCTGTTTAAGTCAGGAGGCTTCTCGTAAAGGGAAGGGGGAAGGGAGGAGGTGAGTGGCGCCATTTTGTACTTGGGCTGGTCTAAAGTGGCCCTGGTTATGTTGCAGATCTATTACATAGCATAAAAGCCAGATTCCATAAAGGAAGAGAATCAGATGAGACAACACAAAAAGTGTTAAGCTTATCTACAGTTCTAAAAAAACCAAAAGCATAAAACCTTAAATAATGATAAAAATTTAGACAAATGACAAACTGGGAAAAATGTATTTGTAACATATAGGACAGACATTAAGTTAATATCCTAAATACATAAAGAGCTTTGATGAATTAATCAAGAAATGGAAACATCTCAGTAGAAAAAAATTTAAAAGACATATTCAAGCAGTTTACAAGAGATATTAATGGCCAATAAACATGAAAAGATGTTCAGCCTCACCAGTTATCAAAGAAATGAATATGATATAAAATTTTTTGTTTATCAGATCTGCAAACGTTAAAAAAAAATGACAAAACCCAGTAGAGTTTCTCACAGGTCCATCTCCTCCAAGCACGTGGGAACTTACTTCTCATTGTTTTTCTTTTTTTTTAATAACTGTTTTATTGAGGCATAATTTGCCTACTGTCTCTCTATTTTTACATGCCCAAAATAAGCTAATTTTTATTGGCTAAGCTGTTTTGTCTTGTTCAGTGAGAGACAGTTTAGTAATACCTCCAGCAGTGTATAAGGGTTCATCACCAACACTAGTTACTATCTGTCTGATTATCCTAGGGGGCATTATATGGTATCTCATTTATTTTTGTTTATCTGCATTTTCTATTTGTCTCAATAAACATTTGTTTCTTCTGTAATTAAAAAGTATTTTCAAACTTAAGTGTATGGAAAATGCTCACAGTATAAGGCTAAGTGAAAAAAGCAGGGAACAAGTTAGTCATTCCAGACAACCCCAATTTTGTGAAAATAATTTGTTTGTAATGATAGCTACAAATGACTGACCGCCTCCTGCCTGCCAGACTCTTTGGCGTTCCCTCTGTTCTCTCATTCAGTCCTCTCAAGGACTCTTCAGGTGGTGAGAGGGGAGACCTGAAGGGGTTCAGTCACTTGCTCAGGGTTCTATTGCTGCTGAAGAGCTGTGATCTGGCCCTGGCATGTGACCACTTGGCCCGCTGCCTCTTCACATTGGAAGGAAAGACACCACAGTGTACACAGTGATGATCTTGAGTGGTGGGTAACGGGGTGTTTATTTCTTCTTTACACTTTTTAATATTTTCCCCTTCCTTTTCTTGAATGAGCACACATTACCTTCATAAATCAAACAAAAACACATTTAAATAACTTAATGTAATACGCAAAGATTGTATTAGATGTTGTAGTATTTACGTTAATCAGTCGTTTTTTTCCTACCTATAAAGGGCTTGTAACTCAATATTCACTGCATTAGAGAAAAATCAAGAAGCAATTGAAATTACAAGTGAAGACCACATTATACAGGTTTGTTATTTTTGGAATTTGTCCTTCTGGATTTCTTGTTTTGTTCTCATTTTTAGCATTGAACCCCTCAAATGTGATTTTTTTTTTTTTTTTTTTTTTTTTTTATGTTTAGGAGACTAATTTTTCCTTAGGAGATTATCAGAACAAAATCAAAACATGTCATTTAAAATAAGCTCTCTATAGATAAGAGAAGATACTTTTTTTGTTTTTTCTTTTCTTTTGATTCTCTAGAATACTAATAATTACTTAAGGTGCTAGAAAATGTCTGTAGAAATATCACATTTACATTCACTAGTTCTCACTGGTTTGTTTGTTTGTTTATTCCTTAGGAGATTATCAGAACAAAATCAAAACATGTCATTTAAAATAAGCTCTCTATAGATAAGAGAAGATACTTTTTTTGTTTTTTCTTTTCTTTTGATTCTCTAGAATACTAATAATTACTTAAGGTGCTAGAAAATGTCTGTAGAAATATCACATTTACATTCACTAGTTCTCACTGGTTTGTTTGTTTGTTTATTTAGCAAGGAGAGATTTTTATTTAGAAGGATTATTGCTTAGGGAGGGATAGGACTATTACAGTAGGGGGAATGCTCTGACCATAATGTCTGCAAGGCTTTCACTTTTCTCCCTGCTTTTAGAAGATAGTTTACACTTACAGAAGATTATTGGAGGGCCGGCCCGTGGCTCACTCGGGAGAGTGCGGTGCTGATAACACCAAGGCCCCGGGTTCGGATCCCACATAGGGATGGCCCGTTTGCTCACTGGGTGAGCGTGGTGCTGACAACACCAAGTCAAGGGTTAAGATCCCCTTACCGGTCATCTTTTAAAAAAAAATAAAAAAAAAAATAAAAAAAAAAGAAGATTACTGGAAACAACTAAAAATTTCACAGGTAACAGACCTAGTAATTAGTGAATAAATTACCCATTATTAGCAAAGTGGGTTTATGTAAGTGACTTAAGATAACATGGCTTGTACTTTTAGATGATAGCAAAAGAGAGAGTTGTGCCAGAGAAACATTCCTTTTGTCTGAGAGTTAGCTCCACTTTGATTTTACTTCTGGTCACTCCAGTTCTTTAACCTAACTTATAACTTCCTTGGTAAAGAGTTGATGGTGTCAACATTCGGGAGTTGGTTCCCTGAGAGGCACCAGGGGCCAGTGGTTGAGGGTGCAGGCTCTGGCTCCAATCTGCCTCGGCTGAGCAGCTTTGGGCGACTGTCTTAATCCAGCTGAATCTGCTTTCTCAGGTGGGAATGATATTAAGAACAACAACAACCTACCTACCTTTTATAAGGATGTTCTGAGGACTAAATGAGTTCATGTGTGTGAAGTGCTTACTGTAGTGGCTAGCAAGAAAAACAGACCTTGATAAATAGTATCAATTATTGTTTTATCATCATCATTAGCACACGCACCCCTTTCCCATATATTTTCTCTGCGTCTTATGGTCCTTTTTGAAATTTAACCATAAAGGCTTATGTTCATAAGCACTTCCTAGTTCATAGCCTGCTTTCCACACACATTATTCATTTGAATCATAAGAGAGAAGGAAGGTAAATGTTTCATTCCCATTATTCAGATGAGCAGACTGAGTCTGAGAGTTTCATAACTTGCAAATATCAGACAGTGCGTCGAGGGGGAGTAGTGGGGGGAGCATTTCACGCTTGCAGTCTGGTGCTTTATTCCATTGTACCACCACCTAAACAGCCCTATTGTAGCAGCCCCTGGTTTGTCCCTATGCAGATCCCTTCCTCTGCCCTGGTTGAAGAGAGAGTGGGCATGCTGCCCCCCCAGAGTCTCAGGAGAACATAGCAGAAAGTCTAGCCAGGTATCACCCAAACAGAAGCTTCTCTGGGCTCCAGAATTCTACTAGGGTTGTGTCCTTGTAGCTTTAAAACTGCCGTGGTGAGATTCAGGTTCCTGAGCTTTCTGGGCAAAAAACATGAGGGCTTAGGTTGAAGACCCCTGATTTTTCTCCTTCAAAATGTTTTTGAATTCACTTGATGTTTTTTCTTTTGTCTTCCCCTAGTATGCAAATCCTGCATTTGAAACAACAATGGGCTATCAGTCAGGTGAATTAGTAGGGAGAAAGTTATCAGAAGTGTCTATAAATGAAAAAAAGGCTGAGTTGCTGGATACTATAAATTCATGCATCAAGATAGGCAAGGTAAGTAAGAGGTCAGTACCTTTTTTACTTCCACATTACAAAGAGGGATGGAAGACTTGGTGTTCATTAAGCGTGTATCAGGTAATCTCAATCTTACTCTTTCCAGCAGCCCAGAGAAGTATAGGTAGTGTTTGTTATCCCTGTCATCTCCACTTTGTACCTGAGGAAACTGTGGCCAAAAAAGTACAAGGGTACTTCAAAAAGTTCATGGAAAAATAGAATTGAAATATAATGCAAATCTTACCATGAACTTTTTGAGGACCCTCATATATAAAATGATTAGCCAATAAGCAGAGTAACTTAAATTGATGCTTATAATCATTGTTTTTATCTTTGTAATAAATAAGTAAATTGATCTTTCTAATGATTGATGTTCTAAATGATAGATGTTGGCAAATGGTTCTGGGAAAGGACTGACAATGAGGCAACATATTCTCAGAACACACCTGTGCCCAGCAGTTCCCTGAGCCTCATTCATTCACTGAGCAGTTTTTAAATGCCTGCTGTGTGCCAGGCACTGTGCTAGAATCTAGCACAGAAAGAAGAGCAAAACAAAAATTCTTGCCTTAGAGAGCTTGTATTCCAGAGTTGAAAACAGACAAATAAAAGGAATCATTACACAATAATGTGAGAAGTCACATAATCACGAGACAGAAGAAAGACAGGCTCAGTCCGAAAGGTTATTTCTCTCTGAACCACAGCCTCTGACAGCACCTCACTGTTACTGGGTTTTAAAATATGATGAGAAGGGGCCGGCCCGGTAGCGCACTGCTGTAGTGCGCCACTTGGGAAGTGTGGTGGCGCTCCCGCCGAGGGTTCGGATCCCACATACAGACCGGTTCCTGCTCACTGGCTGAGCGAGGTGTGGGCGCAACACCGAGGGTTGCGATCCCGTTGCCGGTCCCGGTCCAGTACGGGCGCGACACTGAGGGTTGCGATCCGTTGCCGGTCATGAAAAAAGACAAAAAAATATATATATATATATGATGAGAAGGAAGAGTCTACTGCTTTTCACAGTCATTCTTGGTCCTTTCTGGTGGGCTGTTTTTTACTTCTGGAAGTTGGGTAGTGACTATTAATCTAATTACTTAAAACATTTGAAAAACTGGTGACCTATTCTGCCTGCTCTGCGGAAGTGATGTCCTTTTCCCTGTGGCATTTGGCCATTGCCTGTCCCGTAGCACAAAATAGCAGCCTACCATAGGGGCAGGGCGCCATGCAAAGCTTATACTCTGCTTGGCTTGGGCCCCTTGTAGACAACAGTGGGCTCATTTCTCTTGTCTTTCTCCATGGCTCTGAGCATATGAGATTGCCATGAAATGAGAACAAGGAAAGAGCAGGCTGGCTGCAAGGGCCCAGGGGTGTGCTGTCAGGGGAATAACAAAAGGAGACACTGCTTGAGTCCTATTTTTACTTTAACTTTTCTGCCAAGGATAGTGTTTTTCTTACTAGAAAGAGTGGAAGGTCTTCTGGAAAGACAGAAATGAAGGCTGAAATGGATGAAGAGACCTTCTTGTGCTCAGGTGCACCACATGGGTTATATCAAGTTCCTTGCTGTGGTTGAGAAGGGCATCCTCAGAAGGAGGCCACAGAACAGCAGTCATGCCAGACCGCAGCCAACGTGGGTGGGGGGGCTTTCTCATGGCCATCCCATTTCTGACCTCCAGGTCCCTTGCTGCCACTGGATTGTCCACTGGTTTTGTTGTGAGCTTCAACTAGGTATGATCCAGGATAGCCCTTGTGCGCCATGATCTGGCAACCCTTACAGTGAGGCACTCTGTGTCCCGATCACTGAGGAGAGCAAGTGGAGACAGGAGGGAGTGCTCAGTGGATTAGCTGTAAGTCCTGGGGTCCATCTAGGTTTGTGCGGACAGCATCTCACCTCTGCTGGAGTTATGCTGTTGCACATCAGGTAGAAAGGGCATCAAACTTGAATAGCAGGAGACCTTTCCCTAAAATCTGCACTTATTGTGAGCCAGTAGAAAAGATTATCATATTATTGACCCCTTTTCTGCTTTATTTCTAAAAGAAACCTAGTTATTTCTTTTGTCTATTTCAAAGTTCTTAGGGAGAGTGAAAAACCTGTCTTTTGTCGGTAACCTGCTGGTTTGCTGGCAACGCTGCACCAGGACAGACTGCCAAGTTTTTGAGGTGAAAAAGTGTATAGCCTTTCTAATTCAGTCTCTGTAGGGAGAGTTAGTCGGCTTGTGGAAAAGCGGTACTGTGCTCAGTGAGGAGAGTTCAGGCGTCTCCTGGGAACTAGAATAGCAGAGTGGACATTTAGGAAGTGGTCAGGTGGCCAGGGGTGGGGGCATTGGAGTGTCAGATTCTAGCTGTTGGGTATCTTAGTTGGATATTCTTGGGGGCAGAGGAGAAATTCTGATGATATTCAAGTAGAGAATATTCCAAAAAGTACCACTCTTCTCAAATATCCCTCTGGCCATTGTTCTTAGTCAGTGGCTCCTTTTTTGGATGAAAATAAAAGGTAGCTTGATTTTTAGCCTCCACACTCATGCTTCCTTGCATGCCTGTATATATCCTTCTTGACTTCTTTTTTCTTCTTTCCCGAGACGTCTCTATGAGGGCTCGAGAACCCATACTCTCCCATTTTCTTAGATACTTATGCCTTACATAGTTAGAAATATTGATTTTTTTTTCCCTCAGAAATTGTATGGTGTTCTTCCCGTGGCATATAATAGGTGCTGAATAAATGTTGGTTGCTCGGATGCCTGCCTATGACAAAGGTGTGTGGCTGCAGAACCTTTTAGCTTTTCAAAACTTTTACTTCCTTAGCTTCTGTGATTCTTCTTTCTTCTCTCACTACTCCCCATTTTCCTACTCTTCTTCCTTCTGTTTACTTCCGGATTTATCAGGACTTTGGCCTTTGCACACTACATTGTCATTCAGAAAGCTCCTTTGTTGTTGAGGCATCTTTCCTGCTTTGCATAAGATGCCTTACACCTCCCTGGTTTTAGCTTCAGCCTCTTTTCCAAGGTCTGGTTCAACATCCTGCTGTCACCATGAAATTAAATTGTCTAACAATGATTTTCTCTTATTCCCCGTAAAAAAAATCTCAATCCTTCTTCCACTCCCTGCTATCTCTGCTCATGGTCCATCTTCACAGTTGCCATGACTAAGATTCCAGGAATCGTTTTGGTTCTTCCCTGCCCTTTGGTCTCCTCCATCACGTCCATCACTAATCCTTGACTGGCTGTTAAATTCCTGCGTTGAGTGTGTACTGCCTGGGCCTGACCTTGTTCGGGGCCTTCTTCCTACACCTTGGAATTACGGTGGCTGAATTCAGTTAGGTCTCTTTGCCCTAGGGTCTTCTACTTCCATGCAGTCCAGTACACTGTTACATGATTAGTCTTATTAAATCATCATTTTGTCAAGTTGCTCCCTCAATATAGAGCTTACATTCTTTACTGTGGCTTCCTGGATTCTATAGTTGATCTTGGCCTACCTTTTCCTTCAGTAAACAAAAGCCCCAAGTGTTCCTTAATCGTTTACCATGTGCAAGCTCTGTCCTAGCCCTCGGACAGGACAGCTGGATGGTGATAATTTAATTCTGAAGACAATGGGTGCCAAGAGGGACTGCATCCATAGCCAGAGAACCCCAGCTTGGTGCTTGGCTTGTCTGCACAGAAGGGAGGGGACCTACTATTGTTCTGAGGGGAGCTCAGCCTAGAGAGAGGCCTATGCAAAACCACCTGCACCCAAAGCAGGCTATTTACTGAATGTTTGCCATGTGTCTGGAATTTGCTAAGAGTTTATGTGCATAACCCAAGGTAATCTTCATGACAGCATTCTAAGATAGTACTGTTACCTATTCTCAGGAACTAAATTTTATATGATATTTATGATAAGTAAATATTTTTATATGTTTATGATAAGTAAATATTATCTATGATAAGTAAATATTTCTTGTTTCCACTGGTGACTGGAGAACTTAGAGGAAACTCTGTTACCCAAGCCAACTCGTTGGCTAAATCATCCTACTCCCTTAGGTGGACGTGGAGCTTTGGCTGGAATGGCCTGTGATACCTTGGCTTGGGATCTAAGTCTATTCAGAAAGGATTAGAGAAGAAAATTCTGAATATATTTTTTTAAAGTGCTGACTCATTGGTTGAATTGGTCTTCTGTATTTCTCTTTTTATTTTAATTTTTTATTTTTTAAAAAATATAACAGCTCTATTGAGAACTAATTCCCGTACCACACAATTTAACCATTTGAAATATACAATCCAGTGGTTTTTAGTATACTTCCAGAGTTTTGCAAATATCACTACAGTCAATTTTCCATATTTCTGTTGATCATGCATTTCAGAAGTAACCCTTAGACCTGTCTGCTAAAGCTTTCTAAGGTGGACACGTGGGCTGTAGGTATGAAGGACAGCCTGTTCATCACTGCCTAGGGATCCCTGTTTAGTCCTTGTTGGTTTGGGGCACAGGCCTCTTTCTCAGGGCTTAGCTTCCCTCAGAACAGTACTAAGAACTGCACCTTTCCCTGCCTCAGTCCAAGCTAATTACCGAGCTGGGTTCTCTGGCGTTTTTTAATGCAGTACTTTTTGGTACCCATTGTTTTCAGAATTATATCAGGAAGCATCTGTAATCATTCTTTGCTACTATCAGAGAGTCCTGTTTTCTTTGTGATCCACTTTCCCAGAGAGTCTGAAGATGAGATCTTATCATTGGTGTTTGCACTCAGGTTGCCATGCCACAGCGTAGAAGATTTTAGAATCTTTCTTCTGTAAGGATCTAGACAGGAGACTTTAGCTAAGCCATCAAGGCTGCATGTGGTCTACTTCCTACCTGGGACAGCTCTGGGTTCTGACAGATTCTTGAAGGTCAAGAAAGTTATGGAACACCCTAGGAGTTAGTGTACTATAGTAGGTTTTAGGAATTTTCATAGCTTAAGGACCTTGGTGGCTTCTTGGAGGAATTCAGAACCTTTTAGGATGGTGACAAAACTCAGCTCCTCCGTCCTGCACTCTCCCCACCACAGCAGGCAGTCTTGTCCTGTGCAGGCCTGCTTGCCCAGACCGTACTTCCCTTCTGAAAGAATCCCCAAGTTCTGTCTGATCATGAGAGCACAACTAATGCAATTGCAGGTTTTGAGATCTCGACTCTTCTCCCTGAGCTTGGCCCCAGCTGTGACATCATCCTCACCTTATGGGTACAGGGACCGAGACCCTTACACAATCCAGAAGGACCTCAAGCTGCTCAGACTCAGGAGCTGACAGCAGCTTGCCATGGTAGTGGCCACAGAATGGTCCCTTCCCTACTCTAGTCCTGGGATTCTTCCCCTCCAAGTACAGGGGCAGAGGTCAAGCTTCCTCCTCCACTGCAGTAGGTGGGAGTCATGACAGGAGGAACCTGTGTGTTGAAGTAAGGGGGTGCTCCTCATTCATGGGCCCAGGAGCCCTCTTGCCAGCAGTTGGCCACTGAAAACATATGTCCACTTAGACTGTGGTGACCTGACTCTTGTCAGCAACCCACGAGGAGATGGATTTCAGAGGTTGAGAGAGAATTGTCAGATTACCTGAAATTGGATTTGGGGTTAGGAACTTTTTTTTTATCCTAATTGCTTTAGCAATGGTAAATAAATTGGAACTGAATTGGAAAATGTTCTTGGGTTTATGTTTTGAACACAAAGTATAATGATACATATATTCCATTTATAGGAGTGGCAAGGAATTTACCATGCCAAAAAGAAAAACGGAGATAGTGTGCAACAAAATGTGAAGATAATACCTGTCATTGGACAGGGAGGGTAAGTGGAGAAAATAAGTACTTTAGTCAACATACCATGTTTTGGGTTATTGCAAAATTTTTTTTCTCTGAATACTTAAGTGAGTTATGAATGTCTGCAGAAGTTTAAAAGTAAAGCTTGTAACAAGGTCAGGTGTCATCACAGAATGGCCTTCCAGGGTAGTGTTTCCTTGGTGGCTTCCTCATGACTACAGTCTGATGTTCCACCTGCAGCCCAGAGCCACCAGACTCAGGACAATCTTGTTTAAGCTGCATGGGTGCACAAGAGACTGATTTAAATCAGAATGTTAGTTTATTAAGGAGTGTGATAAGAATGCTGGCTGGTAGACTCCCTGTATTTAAAACGTTTTTGTTTAATTTGATAGCCTGTGTGTTTTTTCTACAAAGGCCTATGAAATTAGATAAATGTATTTTAAATATTAACAGTTATGGAAATTCTTATATAAAACAGATGTGACTATAGATTGGAAATCAGTATATATTAGGAGCCTAAAAATCTCAGATGGTTTGTCTCAGAATATATCTTAAATAACAAGTAAAAAGCTTATGATATAATGTTAAATGCACAAAGTAAAATGTAAAATCATACCTAATGTATGACCTCTGTCATGAAAAGGAAAGAAGGAAAAAAGAATAGGAGGAAGTATGGCGATGGCAATTACAGTAACTGCTACTGTTTATTGAGCCCTTCCGTCTCTGGCCAGGCTCTCAGTGCCTGGTAGATGCCACTTCATTTCATCCTAACTGCAGTCCTGTGAGGTTAGCGCTGTGATCACTTCCATTTTACAGATGAGGAAACTGAGGCATAGAGGGGTCAGGTTTCTGGCCCAGGGTCCAGTCAGCAGTGCGTGGTAGAGCTGGCTGCAGACCTCAGCGCTGACGCACAGCTCACGTGCCTTGTCACCAGGCTGTGCTGCCAGTTGGCGCATGCCTCAGGGATACCGATCTCTGTGGGCTCTCTGTTCTGATTCTTTGCCCTTTTATGCCCCTTCCAATTTTTTTTGTGATAAGTGTATAGGGATTTGATTATCAAGAGGGAAAAAGTTAAAAAGCTGAAGGAACAATAAATAAATGAGAAGAGTCAGCAGCTTCTGAGCTAAGCCCTCTTTGCTTTGTTGTAGACTTTTAGCTAATTGAGGTTGATGTGAACCTCAGCCCCCAGTGTGGCCTGGGGCTGTTTCCGTGAGTGACTGAGCTGATTGTTGTAACTTGAAGAACAACATCAATATAAAGGGTTGTCAGAATAAAACATGTTAAGGAACTAAAGCCTCTTGGTTAGTTAACATGCCGAACATGTTTTTAAAACATGTATTTTTTATTGACTTGTGATAACTAGGGAAAAATATTGTTGTTTTTACTGAAGTCACTTCTTTCCTACAGAGACACAAGAGGTTGTTTGTAAACTCTTGTTCATTTAGTGGCAGTTTTGGCTGCAAGAAATGGAAGTGCTCTTCTCAAAGCATTTTGTATGTCATGAAAGAGAGGTGCTCTTTTTGTAATGAAAAATTAACTACATATTCATCAAATTAGAGGAAAGAAATAATGCATTGTTTTCTACTTGCAGAAAAATTAGACACTATGTGTCCATTATCAGAGTGTGCAATGGCAGCAACGAGGTACGTGAGGAGAGCCCAGGACCCAGGCACACCCAGCAAGATTTCCAGACAGTCGGAACTAATGGCTTTTACATTTTATTTTTAGGCCGAGAAAATACCTGAATATGTTCAGTCTGACACTTGTACAGGTATCGTGTCCCATATTCATTCTTAGGGTTTGTTGAGCTTTTGGAGAAAAAAAAGAAAACAGATCCCTACTCTGACTACCCTGCCTGGGTAGGACCATGTTTTTTAGCACTGTGGCCACATTTCTCTCCCTGACTCCCAAGGCTGGTTTATGAGTTGAAGGACCTGAGTGCTTGTGGGCATTCTGACAGGTGCCCTGGGGTGGGTGTTAGCCTGTGGGGACAGAACTGGTCAACTCAGACACATGAACTCATGTGAAGACGTGTTGAGTGAAGGTGGTTTCATAACCTGATCTGTGCTTTAGGAGGCAGGCGCGGTTAGATATTAGATCACAGTTCTTTAGCAGGGAAATCTTCATCTGCCCTGACATTTGTCACCTCAAGTCTACAGGGAAGTAGCTGGGCCCCTCAGACTTGCCTCATCTTGTATGTCTCCTAACCATAGCATGGATACCATCTGCTCATTCCCACATCTGTGTTACTACACATGCTTTTCCCTGGCCTGGAGTTACTTATTTCCATCAAACAAATGTCATGGTTTCAGCACGCTACTTCCTGAGCTGGCCTTCTCAGGTGAGGGGGCTGGACTGTGAGGTTGAAGGACCAGTCCAGCTCCAGGCCAGAAGCTGTCCATCCAATCCCACCTTGCCATGCCCAGGCATGCACCCTACTTACTTAGCTAGTCTATAGCGCTTTTAGGGAGAAGATTTTGTCTTCCATCCTTTCTCGCTGTTTGTGATATGTTTTTCACAGTATCAGAACAGTTCATGCATTTACTCTAGGAATATTTACTATGTGTTTTTCTGAACACTTTCTGTGTACAAGGTTTTGTGCTAAGTGCTTTGCATATAATTTATTTAATTGAAGTCTTGGAATAACCTGAAGGAGACAGGCATTTTATAGATGAAGTTCCCTTTTTACAGGTAAGGAAACTGAAAGACTAAATTTGCCCAAGGATATCCATCTAGGAAGTGTCAGAGCTGATACTTGGATCCAGAATGGTTGACTCCAAAGCTCTGAAGCACATGCTGGGGACACTTCTTGCAGGCACCCCAAGAGCAATCAGGGCTTTAATCTGAAAGGAAGAGAGCCATGTTGATACCAAGGGACAGACATAGAGCAGGTGATGAGAAGTGAACAGCAGGGATGAGAAAGGGCCATTGGTGCCATGGGGGCTCACTGGGAGAGGGGCAAGCCCCAGAAAGGGGAGGGGTGTGGAAGGAAAAGCATTTCAGCAATAAAAACAGGTGCAGAAGAGGGAAAATACAGGGTGTGTTTTAAAAAGAGCGAGTATTAAAGTTTGACTGGTATAAAGGGTCAGTGGGGAAAGAGAAGTTTGGATCAATAAGGATCCTTACATGCTAGGTAAGAAATTAGGATTTTCATCTGTAGGCAGTGGGAGTCTCTGGATTTTTGAGCAGGGGAGTAGCACGATGACATCTGAGCTCTGAGAAGCTCATAGAACATATATGTAATACAGATTACATAGAGGGAGGGACCAGAGACAAGAATACTGGCATTGCCACGGTCAAGAGGAGAGAAAGCAATGTCCAGGAATCATAAGGTGGTGACAATAGGGAGGCCAAATGTGATGATGGTGTGGGACCAGAGAGAGGGAAGCAAGAAAGAGCAGTCACAAAGTCATTTCTGAGCCTGGAGATTTAAGGTGTGGTAATAGGGCTAGGGAAGGTGAATGTGGAAAGCTTGTTCTGTGAGGTCCTGGTGGGCAACTAGGTGGGTTTGTTTATTCACTCCTCTTTTCAGTGACTCTGCAAATTTCTATTGAGTACCTGCGAGGCTTCGGTTCCTATGTTCTTCAAGGAGGTTGGGCCAGAGATGCAAGTGTTTCTGGCCAACGAAACATTTAGCCAGTAACACAGATGTGGAACTGATGAGATGGAGCCCGGGGATGGTAAAATGGAGTGGAAATGGCAGGAAAAGGAGAGGAGGGGTGAGACATGTTTCTGGAGACCACATACCTGCAGACAGGGAGGAAACAGAAGCCAAGAAGAGGGGTCAGAGGAAGGGGGACGTCTGGGGAATGTTGGTGAAGCCAAGGGCAGGGAGAACGGGGAAGCATGGAGAGTGGCCAGGTGAATCTCATGAGGAAGGAGGGAGAGGAATGAGAAGAAGAACCAGACATGGATAGAGACTTTGAATTTTGCATTCAAGAGCTCATTTGTGACCTGGAGATGTGCAGTTTCAGGAGAATGGTGAGGGCAGAAACCCCACTGCAGGGGATGGAGGAGTTAGGGTAGAAGCAGCAAGTGTGGCTGATTGCGACAGGACTCCTACACCACAGGTCACAGGGTGCTTTTACTTGTTCGTAATTTTTTGGTTTTGTTTATTTTTAATTCTTTTGAATAGCCCTGTGAAGTAGGCTTGGCTATTATTAACATTCCTTTATTACATAGGAAGAAACTGAGGCTCAGATAAGTTCATTGACAGCCTAGAGTTGGACAGCCAGGAAATGCCAGAGGTGGGACTGGAAGGCAGAGACAGTGACACAGTCATAGGAAATGGTAGACAAGGGAAGAATTTCCCAATCTGTCTTTGTGCTGGGCCATTTAGTCATTTTCCTTGATCAGTGCTCACTTGGGAGTCTCACCTATCTCACCCATGTGAGCCACCTGCCTGTCCAATCTCCTTCCCCCTTGGCAGCGTAACCAGCTTTATGTCCAAAGATCTCAGCTGGCTGTCTTGCCATAGGAAGGCAGGTGGGGCTACTATGGGCCATGGACCAGCCAAGGTTCTGGCTACGTATGAGGGTACTTCAAAAAGTTCATGAAAAAATAGAATTAAAAGATAATATGAATCTTTCCATGAACTTTTTAAAGTACCTGTATACACAGAAATCAATTCTTAAGCAGAAAGGAGGAAATAGGATAGCTTACAGATTGGACAAAAAAGCTTAAGAACCACTTTTGAAAAGGGAGGCAGACAGCAAGGGAAGCTGGACAACTGTTCCCACTGCCCTAGGCGTTTATAGGAGCAGCATGGCTAGGGGCCACTGAAGGCAGAGAGACAGTGGAGAGACTGGATTCAGGAGCTACTTAGATATAATCAGTAGGACTTGTGAACCAGCTTAATGTAAGGGATAAAGAGAAAAAAGACTTGAAGATGACAAGATTTCTAGCTTGGTTGCTAGATAACATCAATTAAAATAAGTGCAGATAGGGGCCGGCCCGGTGGCTCACTGCTACAGTGCACCGCTTGGGAAGCGTGGCGGCGCTCCCACCGAGGGTTCGGATCCCACATACAGATCAGCCGCTCACTGGCTGAGCGAGGTGTGGGCGCGACACCGAGGGTTGCGATCCCGTTGCCGGTCCCGGTCCAGTATGGGCGCGACACTGAGGGTTGCGATCCGTTGCCGGTCATGAAAAAATGACAAAAAGGAAAAAAAATAATAATAATAATAATAAATAAAATAAAATAAGTGCAGATAAGATAATAAGAAAGAGCATGTCTGTACAGGGAGAGAATAGTAAGGTTAGATTTGATCTTATTTCATCTAAAGCTCCTGGAACATTCCTTTGGAGATGTATAGTGGCATTTGGAGATAGCCAGAACTTTGGACCCTGCCCTCCTGCAGGGGGAAGTGAGGCAGGAAGACTGAGCATTAAGAATGGAACCCAGCTATAGTAGGCATTTAGGGATGGGCAGGTGGGCACTGGGGAGCAGGATGTAGACTTCATTCATTCAACCAAAACTCAGTGTGTAACTGCCACTCACCAGGCAGTGTCTTGTGCTCATGAGAAACCTGCATTCTAGCTGTGGGGTGAGGTAGACAGTAAGCAAATAATAGATAGTATATCAGATGATGCTAAGTTCCATGGGGAAGAATAAAGCGGGGGAGGGGGAGTGCAGGGGATGAGGAAGTCATCAGGAAAGGCCTTGCCGGTATGTGACAAGTTCTGGTTCAGGTGATATGGCGCTGGTGGAACCCAGGCCTGGTCTGCTCATGTGCTGCCAGGGGTTGGGACCATTGCTATAGACCTCGTAGACCACTGAAAAGACTTGGAGGTTTAGTCCACAGCTGGAGAAAGTGAGCTTTCTCGGGAGGAAAGATAGTTTCCAGTGTCCACTGCTGCAGAGAGGCCGGGAAGCAGGAGGGCGGCAGGAGGCTATGGACTTGGCGGTGTGGAGGTGGACTTGCTGCAGAGCATCCTCTCCACAAATGCTTGCACTGCTGAGAGTACCCCAGGAAGTGCTCTGACAGTCTGCTGTGGTCCCAGCAGAATGACTTGTGGGCAAGTCACATAAAATACGTGGGCCTTAGCTACCTCATATCCAAATTGAAGCTTATGTATCCAGGCCGTAGGGTTAATGTGAATGCAGGGGAAGCTGCTGTCTGTGAAGGGCGCAGCCTGGCTACCACCTCTCATCGCCCCCGTTGCTTCTCTCGGGTTCCCTGGATTTATCCAGCAAGCCAAGGAAAGGTTGCTAATTTTTCCCTACTGAAAAGATGGGCAGAATTTAAGGATCCCATTTTACAGGACAGGAGACCAAGAGCAGAGACATGAAGTCACAAGTGGTGCTAAGCCCAGTCCCTGGTCAGGAGGCCTATTTAGCATTCTCTCCATTGACAGACCCAGTGCCTCAGACCGATCTGTGCTGGGGTCAGTGCTCCTCTAGGAATGTGCAGTCTTGTGGGGATGTAAAGCTCACACTTCCTCACTCATCCCCTTGGTGTTCCCTGAGGACAGCTTCTGAGAGCCAGGCACTGGGGAGACAGGGTGAAGCATGGTTCTTCTCTATCTACTAGGTGAAAATTGCTAAAGAATCGTGCCACAGGGACTCAAAGGGGAAACAACATCTTAACAGGGCTGTTGGGAGCCGGAGGATCTAGTACTTACACAGAGAAAAAGTAACTCTAAAATGTATGGATAGAAATTAGCCTGCTCTGTCTCCTTCCACTCCTGCCATCGTCCCATCCTTGATACACATGCTGCTTCTTGCTTCTCTCCAGCCATACTCTGCTCCATCTACACAAGCAGTTTCCTCCTCCTGGAAATGCCTTCCTCCTTCTCTTGGCTGCAGCTGTAAGACATTGCTCATCCATCTCTTTGTCCCCACTCCCAGAGGAGAATCCGCCACTTTTCCCTCTGGGCTCCTCCTGCACTTCAAAATTATTACTGTAACTCTTAATTTATTCACCTTTGTTTCACACTAGACCATCCCCTTTTGAGGACATGGACCAGGATTAGGGCCTGACACATGGTAGGTGCCCAATAAGTGTGTGTTGAGTGGATAAATGGGAGAAAAATGAAGGGACAAGTAATAAGTTCACAACCTGGTCTTATCAGGCAGTTGTATGGACATTAGTCATCATGAAGCTCAGAGAAAGGAGAGGCTTCTGGGCCGAGCCCGTGGCGCACTCGGGAGAGTGTGGCGCTGGGAGCGCAGCAGCGCTCCCGCCGCAGGTTCGGATCCTATATAGGGATGGCCGGTGCACTCACTGGTTGAGTGCGGTGCGGCCGGTCACAAAAAGAACAAAAAAAAAAAAGAAAGAAAGAAAGGAGAGGCTTCAGACTGCGTGTGGTTGAGAGGAGGTACAATTTGAAGGAGTGAGCATTTGATGAGAGTACAGTGTCATGTCGCAGACAGAAGGAGCAGATGTCAAGGCTGTTCCAAAGATGAAGGACAAAGCAGTTGTGCTGATGCAGCACACTCACAGTAGAGACAAGTGAGAGGTGAAAGGTAGGTTTTTGTGGGCAGATACTACCTGACCTTGCATGCCAGGAAGTTGATTCCTTATCTTTGAGATGCTGAAGAATTTTGAGCAGGGGAGCCACAGAATGAAGAGTGGTATATTTAATGGCACTTTCATTTGTGCACAAGAATATGCAGGTGTGTGGTAAAGCAGACATTTATTTTTTGAGCATCTGTTATGTGCTAGGCACAGTGCTAGTCACCTAGGAGAGAAGGGACTGACTGTCCTTGCCCTCAAGTCGTTCACAGTTGGCAAGGAAGACACGAAAGCAAGCTATTCACCAGCACTGTTGGGGTGGTATGGGGAGGCATTAAGGGAAGGCTTTCCAAAGGTTATGATACCTGAGCTGCATCTTAACTACATCTTCAAAGAGGATCAGAATTAACCAGGTGAAGAAGGTGGCATGGGAGAAGTCCATTCCCAAGTAAGCAGTTTGTAGCAAGGCATAGAGGTTTTGGAGATAATCTAATACATCATAAATACCTCACAATGGCTGGAGATGGGGGGTCCAGATCTTGTAGGACTCTCAGTGCCACACTGAGGAGTTTGGACCTTTCACAGTGATGAGCCATCTAAGTGTTGTAATTGGAAGAGTGATCTGGTCAGATATTTGTTTTAGAAAAATGGTTTGGCTTTCTGTACAGAATGGGTTGAAGGGGAAAGGTTGGGGGTTGTGGGACCAATGTAGGAAGCTGTTGTTATAATCCAGAGAGGATGACGAGTGTCTGGGCTGGGACAGGGACAGAGCAGGGGATAGATTAAAGAGGTGTTTTAAGAGGTAGCAACCGTAGATTTGGCTGACCATTTGTGGGGGTGGGGAAGAAGTCATGGATGACTTGTCTACCTTATGCAAAAAGGTAGGTGCTATTCAGTGACCTGGTTCATTTTGGATGAGGAGTTCATTACCAGAGCCTGAGGAGTATCCAAACAGAGGTGGTAAGTAGTCAGTTAAGATTTAAGTCTGGAGCTCAGGAGAGACGCCTGGGGTAAGATGACACACAGGAGTTAATTAAAGCTGTATGAGGGAATGAGTTCTCCTAAGGAGGTTATGTTGACTGAGAAGAGAAGGGAGGCTCAGGATAGAACCTTTGGAAACAGCAGGGGGGCGGGGGTAGAGGAAGAGGAAGTCAGGAAGGAAACTAGGAAGGAATAATAAGATGTGGAAGGAAAACCAGGAGAGTGTGGACTCTGCAAACAGAAGTATCCAGAAAGAGAGATCAGTTGTGTCTACTACCACAGTCAAGTCAGGTAAGCATTGGATTGTGGCCTTCAGAGTTAGCAACAAGGAGGCCATCGGGGACCTTGACACGCTCATTGTCAGTGCCCACAAGAGAAGAGAATCTGGTTTCCATTGGGTCAAGAAGCAAAGAGCCAGTGAAGAAGCTTCTCGATGGTGCATAGGGAATACTAAGGGCTGCGTTCAGGTCCTGTCTGTGAGCAGGGAAAGAAGGGGTTCCAGGTGAGGAAGCTAAGATGAGGTGGAAAAGCTTCTTCCTGGGGTGGGAAGAGCTGACCTGGAGCACCCGCCGTGTGCCTGTCTGCAAGGCAGCTCCTGGTTTCCACATCTGTGAAACTGGGACCCGAGGTGCAGCCCATGGGGCCCATAGCACCAGACGTGGCACCCAGGAAGGGCACAGAGTAGGGAACAGGAAGGAAGGTCAACCTTGCCTTGTCAGTGATGGGCTGGGGGTCAGGGATGGAGAGGAGTCAGACAACGCCGTTTGGAGCCTAGGAGAACAGTGGTGCCCTTCACAGAAAAGAGGGAGTCAGAGGGAAAAGGAAAAACTGCTGTTTGACATACACCCAAGCTGTGCTCCCCATACTGTCCAGGGAAAGAGAAGAATGTCCTCCCTGGGATATTTTAGAATTTTTAAATTTTTTACCTTATTTTATTTTTTTGTGGCTGGCCGGTATAGTGATCGAACCCTAGACCTTGGCTTCATCAGCACCACACTCTAACCAAGTGAGCTAACTGGCCAGTCCCTCCTGGGATACTTCAGAGCTTGTGTTGTAAAAAAATACATAAAATATTTTTTTCCTTTGGGGCAAGGGTGGATGGGGATCAAAATTTTCCCACTATTTTATTCATTTGTATAGAAATGTAATACGAGAAATTTTCCTCATGCTGTTTCTGCCAGTTCTTACTTTATGTCTTGGGATTCTGAAATTATGTAATCTGGAAACTGTGAAGCTCTTGTTTATGAATGCATCCAATGGAACATTTTGAGAAACTGAACCCCCTTAAAACCAAGTTCACTGTCTTCATCTCTGTGTACTGTGTTGATTTTTATGGCATCTTAAATAGTGTTCTAGTTCTTAAATTTGGGTGTTTTATTTATTTTTTTTTAAATTTTAGATTGGTAACTTTTCCTAGTATGTTGTTGAAATCTCTTTGAAGAGGTGATTTATAATTTAATTGTTTCTGCAGATAATCAGACAGGCAAACATAAAGACAGGAGGAAAGGCTCACTAGACATCAGAACTGTTGCCTCTCGAGCAAGTGAAGGTGAGTGGCGATGACAAGCATATGATCAAATCAGTGGTGACACATGGAGGCCTGACCCCCATCCTCCCCAGTCTCATCTTCTGGTCACTGTCCACCTTCAGTTCTTAAGAGGGGAGGGAACCCTTTGGGGAACCTGTGCCCCATTTTTCCCTTTCCCCTGACTCCTGCCGCCAGGCTCCATTCTGAGCCCTTTAATGGAGTCAGGGAATAAAGAAAAAGACTCATTTACTATGTATTCTATAGTTGGTTCTCTACAACTGTAGCAGGAGATGTCAGTTGATGTGCTGTAATTGTGTGATTAATTCACTTGGTAATCCTTAAAGATATATTCCATTGTGGATTGCAGTTTGCCATGGAAGCTTATCTTTGGGGGAGGGGTGAACTCGATTTTGAGATTGTGAAAGACCCTTATTAAGCAAATATTATTTTAAGTTCTATTTTTTTTAAGATCGTGTAGATGCATGACCTGAATGACCTGGTTTTTAAATGTAATCAGAATTGCTTATAGAGAGTTTGGAGGCAAATGTTACTTGCAGCTGTGTACATTCTTTAGCCCGAAGATAAATAGGGAAGGATACAGAGCTGATTGTTACTGGTTCAAAAGCCAAACCTTTCAAAGGTAATATCAGCTAAGACTATATACAATGGAGATCAAATGCCTGCCCTCACATCCCTCACAGATTTGTTGTGAGGCCTAGATGTCATGCCTTTGTTTCTAGTACTGGAAAGACTATGCAAATTACACCCCTGCTGTGAGGGCAAGGTTGGGGGAGTGCCAGCAAGGAAGCAGTATGGCGTTATGGGGAAGAGTGTAGGCTTTTTGGCATCAGAATGACCTTGATTTGAGTCCCAGCTTCATGTATTCGCTATGCAACTTTGGCAGTGGACTTCTGTGCTTCCATTGCCTTACCTGTAAAATGGAGGATTATGTGAGGATTGAATGAGTGTGCATGGTGCCTGGTAAGGGTAGGGGCTCGGTTAGTGTTAGCTGCCTTCATGTGGTCATCCTCATTATAGTCCCGCTTTCCTCTGCCATCCTGGGGCAGTACAGAACTTTCTTCACTCACCACACACTCTAACTTCTGTTGATCCATTGGATTCCTTTGTACATTTCTGTGTTTTTAATAAACACTTATCTTCTAATTTTTTATTTTTTAATCACTATTTTTTAGTTATAATTTACATACAATAAAATTTAGGTATTAAGTGTTCAGTTCAATGAGTTTGTACCATTATATACACTCATGCAGCCACCACCTAAAATAAATGCAGAAAATCCACAACACATATATGCCTTTCACCATGCAGAGGCAACCATGATTTCTAGCACCATAAATTAATTTGGCCTCTTCTTGCTCTTCATAGAATTGGAATTGTACGGTATGTACTCTTTTGTTTAGCTTCTTTCATTCATTTTGATGTTTTTGAGATTCATCCATATTAGATTTATCAGTGGTTCATTCTTTTTTATTGCTCAGTAGTATTCCCTCGTATGAATATACCACAATTTTTTTATTCATCCTCTTATTAATGGATATTGTGTTGTTTCCACTTGGGAGCTAAGAATAGGCTGCCATGAATTTTTATACACATCATTTTTTGTGGACATATGTATTCATCTCCTACCTGGGAGCAAAATTACTGGGCCTTAGGGTAGCCACAAATAGTTCTCCAGTGTGGGTTGTGCCATGTTACTCTCCATCAGTCTATGAGAGATCCAGTTGCTCTGTATCCTTCCACACTTGGTAATACCAGCATTTTACATTTTAGCCGTTCTGGTTGTTTTAGTTTTAATTTTTCTTATGACTAGTAAGGTTGAACACCTTTTCATATTCTTATTGGCCATTTGGATATCCTCTTTTTTTTTTTTTTTTTTTTTTTTTTTTTTTTTTTTTTTTTTTTTTTTTTTTTTTAAAA